AATGTTGATGTTATAATGTATTACCGTGCTAGATGTTGATGTTATAATGTATTACCTTGTTTGATGTTGCTACTATAATGTATTATTGTGCTAGATGTTGATGTTATAATGTGTTACTGTGCTAGATGTTGCCGTTATAATGGATCACTGTGTTTGATGTTATAATGTATTATTGTGCTTGATGTTGATGTTATAATGTATTGCTGTGCCTGATGTTATAATGTATTACTGTGCCTGATGTTATAATGTATTACTGTGCTTGATGTTGATGTTATAATGTATTACTGTGCCTGATGTTATAATGTATTACTGTGCTTGATGTTGATGTTATAATGTATTACTGTGCCTGATGTTATAATGTATTATTGTGCTTGATGTTGATGTTATAATGTATTGCTGTGCCTGATGTTATAATGTATTACTCTGCTTGATGTTATAATGTATTACTGTGCTTGATGTTGATGTTATCATGTATTACTGTGCTTCATGTTGATGTTATAATGCAATACTGTGATTGATGTTGGCGTTATAAAATATTACTACACTTTAACTACTTAGGTCTTTAAGTGCATAACACGTCTAGTAATTTATACTAGTCTATCAACAATTAAAATTTATAAGAGATAAGACTCTGGTTGTAGTTATAATGTTATTACTGCGCTTCAACAACGGAGGTCTTTAAGCACGTACCATGGTTAGTAATACCGTACTCAAGTCCAAAAAGAGAGAGAGATAGAGCTTTGGTGACGAGCCGCTGCTGCCCCACAACCAAGCTGCCACGCTCCAAGTAATCTACAAGAATTATATGCAAATTTCTGTTAATATTAAACTTGAATGTTTGTTGGGCCAGTGATTTTTTTATTTAAATTTCGAAACTAAAATACTGTACCTTTGTTGGGGCTAATAATCGGTTTTTATCATTTCAAATGTTTTTCAGAGGATTTATTTCATAGTATATCTGTGTTTTCGAGGCGCAATTGTAATATTTGTTTTGAAAATACTGTAGTCACATTTAATATAATTCCATACGTATATATGTACTAGTAATATAATACATATTTAAAATGTATCGTAATAAAATCTGTCATTCTTTTCGAAATGTAATTGGAATATGTTTTAGATATACCGTAACTTGCTACATACTGTATAGTGGTATTAGAAAAAAATATTTAAATTTCAGGTAATCTTAAGTCACTACTGGCACTATACTATACTGTCCTCTCACTCGATGTTGATTTTATAATGTATTACTTAGCTTCAACAAGGCGTTAGAGCGCGTGTTCTGGAATGATAAATACATTAGTCATCAACGCTGAACAATTAAGACAAATATGTACAGTATATCTCTGTGGTATAATTGTCTTAATATAATCGAAAACAAACTATTCCTTGTGGTTTACTGAATACTTAAGACAATATCCACCTTAAGCTTCCTTGATAAACATTATTACTGTTCTTTAAAATTTGCGTTCTCTTTATTACTGGACTTTAATCTCATCACTTTAATAACAACTAGCGAGGCTCATAACGAGAGACTCGGTGTTTTATTAACTTGAAATTGAGTTTAGATGTAAAGTTCCGGCCATTTATTGCATTGTAACAAAAAGAAATAGTGTTCTTCAAGTCCAGAAAATTATAGTTTTATTGAAATACATTTGATGTGCGCCATCCCTGGACATGTGTGTGTGTGTGTGTGTGTGTGTGTGTGTGTGTGTGCGTGTGTGTGTGTGTGGGGTCTTCCTTGAGAACTTATGCTTACCTAAAATACTGTATTATGTGTTCGTGATGGTACACTTACATGATAATGGTACACGTACACATTGGTACACATACACAATGGTACACGTACAGTACATGTACAGTAGCTAAAACAACTATCTGTGCAGGCGGGGGTCGATATGCTCCGAAATTTTACATGTGACTAGTGACAGCCCTCATATACCAATATTTATCGTCCATGGTCTCATATTGTTTCCCACAAAGTATGCACAGATAGTTGTTTTAGCTACTGTACGTACATGATAGTGACACACATGCATAATGGTACACGTCCATGATGATGGTACACGTACAATACAGGCAAAATCAAAAGTTCCCCGAAAATCCCCTGCTAGTAATGTTTCTGTTCATGACACTGTTGACTCTCTTTCCACCACTGGTTCAGAGCCGTAGATAGAGACGGTTCTGCAATGGTTGGCTTGCACAACAAACCGACTACTCCATGCATTGGTTGCAAGAGTGTCGTCATCTGTGTTTATGAACAGACACATAATGCTGGCTGGGGATTTTCGGGAAACTTTGGTTTTTACTGTACAGTTCATACATAGTGGTACACGTACTGTATGTACATAATGGCAAACGTACTGTACCTGATAATGATGCACGTCAAGCACTACCTGAGTCCCACGTGTACAATATTAACAAAGTGAAACTAGCCAATCCTGATTCAACTTATTGCAATTAAAATTGCCTTTTATGAGTACCGTTAAGGAGAAGATTATATATATATATACATATATATATATATATATATATATATATATATATATATATATATATATATATATATATATATATATATATATATATATATATATATATATATATATATATATATATATATATATATATATGTATATATATATATACACACTATATAATTTTGACAGCTTGTGTAATAACTTTTATACGTTAAAATTGTTTTTAACATCCAGAACTTCATGTAATCACCTAAAAAAATTCATTAATTTTAATTTTATAATTGTACACCATTGTGATAAATTCCAACCTAGGCGAAGGCCTCTTGTGTCGAAATTCTCCCAGGTATGTAGGGTAAATATTTTTCACAAGTATATATATATATATATATATATATATATATATATATATATATATATATAATATATATATATATATATATATATATATATATATATATATATATATATATATATATATATATATATATATATATATATATATATATATATATATATATATATATATATATATATATATATGCATCTAACTTGCTGACTTAATATAAAACACAAATATAATTATATACTGAGACTACCTTAACTGGACATGATTACTTAAAATCAGTCAAAATTAAGGTAAGAATCTTTTTCGCACAAGATTCTCAACTTTAACTGGTGTTAGGTGAACGTATCTAATTAAGGTAGAATCTCAATGTAATCTTAATGCTATTTTTGTTTCATTTAATCTGGTTACTGCATTTTTATATCTTCACTTATAAGAAATATACATCTTACGGATCTTGGTGAGTCAAGCACTAGGGTGTTGCTCAGTCATCAATTCCTACCAACAATTTATGATGATCACAAGTTTCACAACATACACGTGATATAGTTGATATCACATGTTAAAACTTTCTTCACTTACTTACAGTTTTTATAAACGAAGTGAATCGTTTTTCGACAGATAAACATTAATTTGCATAAGAAAAATTAGTATCATGAGTTACGATGTTTGTGTGGTATATACTCGTATATATCGCGTCGTTGATACGTCTCCATGCTAATTGTTGAAGCCGTTGAGATGATTCGTGAATTCTGAAACTATCTTACGAGTTATCGCTCAAAGATATAAAGTAAGTGATGTAATGTTTGAAAAATATAAGTTGCCGTAAGGGAACGAGTGTAAATAAGCTTTTAATGGCTTCCTGGGGCTGTCTTTGGTTGAATTGACTGTTTCCCATTGTTTGTATACCTGCACTGTCCATGTAAAATTTGCTGAAGTAAGGTGAACTTTTATGACTATTTTCTCTAATAAATAAATATCTAACAATCTCTAAAATGCAAAAACATGATCACGTTAACCAGAAACTTAGTCCCCAGTAAGACGATGACATGACCAGGGCCGGGTTCAGGAGTGGGCAAAGTGGGCAGCTGCCCAGGGGCCTCCACATATTACAATATTTTATTTATTTGTTTATTCATTTGGATTATTTTTATTTTCATTCTTTAAAATTCATGTTTATCTATTCCATCACGTAAAACTATGTTCAGCAAGAAGCGTGATAGAAATTCGGCTAGCAACTCCTTGAAATTCATGAATACCTGGTTTTCCTATGAACCGTATATTTTTATTATTTTTAATATAACTGCATATGGCTTCAAAATTCTCCAAAGAAGTGTTCAAATTTCAAAATTTTCCCGGGGGGCTTACAGCGCCCCCCGGAACTCCCAAATATTTTAGCTCGCTTCACTCGCCACCCCACCCTCTTGGGTAGTTATAATGAGGGGGGCCTCCACAAAGAGGCTGCCCATGGGCCTCCCCAGGTCTAAATCCGGCACTGGACATGACACTGTGAGCGAGATAAAACAGAAGTATCGTGGGTGTCACGTGTCATCTTCTCTCCATCACAAAAATCCTCACAGTAGCCTAACTTTTTAAAAAACGATTAAATATCTTCATTAAATCAACAGAAATATTCATAATTCTATAAAATGACAATTCACAAACATTAACTTCACAGATCCATTTAAATAAAAAGTTTCCAAAGTACCAAAGTTTGCGCGTCACGTCACCACTGAGCAGATCAGCTGTGGATGGTAGAGAGCGAGTTCCGACTTCCTCTGCTCACCACTGTCGTTACCACACTGAGCTGCTCTGGCCCACCAGGCCCGGCCTGCTGGAGGGTGAGGTCCAGGATCGAAGAGCTCTCTCCATCGACCACACTAGTACTGAGAGACTTGCATGGCTCTAGCGGGGACGTAGCTGCACATGTCAAGAGGGAAGGGTGGGGGGGGGGGGTAGAGTCAGACGGAAGAAACCATGGTGAGAAGAACGAGGAAACGAGGGGTTTAATCTTGCAATTGAAATTAGGACTAAATTAGTTTTGTAAATGGTATAAGAGGCATAGACTGCTTGGTAGTCCTGGCGTATACAAGAACGAGTATTGTGGTAAGAAATGTAACGCGTTAGTTTACTGTAATGTAGACGCCATAACTCTGCGTTTGAAATAATCTGACGAGGGTGCTTACTTTTCTGGGCTAATTATATTATGTACCATCTTACATAACATTCATTACACTATATAAAAATCTTTACGTCTCAAAGATGGAAATTGAACGTCATCTGGTCACGAGAAACAAAGAAACTTGAATATTAGTTCAGGTTATGTTACGTTAAGTTTTCGTTAGGGTAGGTTAGGTTGGGTTAGGTTATGTTAGTATTACGGACTTTAGGGTGTTCAATCATCAAGTGGAATAAACGGGTATTTCAAATGTTCATGAGGCTAGATTTTTTTTCTGTAGCGTTTAACTTTGCACTGTATCCTCGAAGTCTTATTCACTTTAAGTCACTATGTAAAGGTATGTGGGTGGTGATTGAAGCATGTGTTCTCTCTATGCTTGTATACAACCCCTAGCAAGTATCCAGCATCATGGGCAGCCCTCAGCAAGTGTCCAGCACCATGGGCAACCCTTAGCAAGTGTCCAGCATCATGGGCAGCCCTCAGCAAGTGTCCAGCACCATGGGCAGCCCTCAGCAAGTGTCTATCACCATGGGCAACCCTCGGCAAGTGTCCAGCACCATGGGCACCCCTCAGCAAGTGTCCAGGACGATGGGCAGCCCTCAACAAGTGTCCAAGACCATGGGTAGCCTTCAACAAGTGTCCAGGATTATGGGTAGCCCTTAACAAGTGTCCAGGACCACAGACAGCCTCCAACAAGTGTGCAGGACCGTGGGCAGCCCTCAACAAGTGTCTAGGACCATGGGCAACCCTCAACAAGTGTCTAGGACCATGGGCAGCCCTCAACAAGTGTCTAGGACCGTGGGCAGCCCTCAACAAGTGTCTAGGAACCATGGGCAACCCTCAACAAGTGTCTAGGACCATGGGCAGCCCTCAACAAGTGTCTAGGAACCATGGGCAACCCTCAACAAGTGTCTAGGACCATGGGCAGCCCTCAACAAGTGTCTAGGACCATGAGCCACCAAAATTTAAACCTCTTTTGAGGTCCTGTGCACACGACTGAGGATAAAACACATCGTATATTTAGTTTTTGGTACACAAGGAGGCAGCGTGGCGGGCACTGCACTCGACCACCTTCACTTCCTCATCTTTTAAAGACGGCTTCCCACAACGTATAATTATACCAAGTCAACCCACGCCCAAAAGGTGGAGCCTATTATTTGACGTTATATGCCCGTATAGGAAGAAAACGTTAGTAAGGCAGGACTCGTATATTATCCCAGGTAAGACCACCCCACTGTAATAGAGGATATTCTTGCCATATTTCCTGATTTTCTCACCCCCTAGTACACTATGTTTCGGTTAACCACTTGAACTTCTCATGCAATCATTATTTTTATGATATTCTTATTATTAAAATTTATTATAACTATTATTAATAATCCTCTTCTTCCTCTCTTTATTATTATTTATACTCATGATTTTGCTGTCAATGTCACTGTAAAAGTAGTGGAGTAATCATAGGCATATGGGCCAGCCATTTACTGTGGTAGGGGGGGGGGCAGAAGGAATACAATAATTAAATAAAATAGTAAATGAAAATAATAAAAATTGTTAACGATTATAATTATCATCATTCTCTCTCCCCAAACTGTTACAGTAAGTCAGTGAATACAAGTATATACTGTATGTGTAGAGGTTTTCAATTTATCAATATGGCCACTATATTACAGATGACTATAGTATTTCCACACTAACCTGGCCCATAAGCCACGACCCTCTTCTTGACTAATAGCTGATTGGTTCATAGAAAATTCAAACTAAATGTGTTCACAATAGGTAAGCAGACCTGTTATTATCTAAAATAATGTTCAATATCTGAACTATCAAAACGCAAATGTTTTCAAGGCATTAGCAGTTCCGAGAGGATGTTAGGAAATTTTAAATATTTATTATAAAAGGTCGATATAAGAACGCGCTTATACATGCCCTGTCCGGGGCGAAGTAAAATGCTCAGGGGAACCAATCAGCTATTTGTAGCTATAGACGAGGGGCGGGGCTTATGACCCAGGTTAACCTGGAAAGGGTATAGGCTATACAAGAGTTTCAAGCAACAAATAGGTACTTGTCTCTCCACATCCGGTTTCCGAGCTGAACGTTAGACTTTAGCGAATTTCAATTTAAACTTACAAACAGCTCACAAGTATTGCCCTTCCTCCTGTTGCACCTTATATATTTGCTACATGCACAATGAAATCAACTTTTTCTCTGTTATTCATCCCTTAGAAATCGATGAAATATCAGACTTTTATCATGTAGTCTGTAATTTGATATGCATCCAGATATGGCGTATTTATCAGGCATTGTCACAGACCTTCACACCATGACGGTCAGCTGCCAACTGAGGTCCCACCCCGGGGCCAACCCCCGGGGCCGCCGACCGTATGACGTCATACGCAGCGAAGGACGAATTCCCGACTTGAAGTGGGTTGACTTGGTTTAAATAGACTTTGGGTTCTCCGTTATAGCTGGATGAACTGCGAGTTCCCCAGAATCGAACTTATGAACTCTTAGTAAAGGAAGAAAGCACTATATCCACTCGGTCACCACAGCTCTATACGACCCCTTCATAGAGATAATCCACCAACGGAGTCCTCTCTGAGTTGAATAAAATCGTCTGCTGTTAGCCAAATAAAATATTAAAGATGGCGTCCCTGTAGTGAAAGGTTTATCACACCCGAATTATCTTTTCACTTTTTTATTATTTTCATCTGATTTTCGAAAAGATTCTCCCTTAAAACGCTAGTGTCGGCCAGGAGGGACTTACGGGTTGGTGTGTCATCATTAATAAACTCATGAACAATTTATGCCTCGTGAAGTGACTTTAAGTGTTCTGGGTTAACAGTTTACAAGCTTATTATTTATTCTTCACCACTGTGACCACCTTGGCGAGGAAGCTTATTTTCGTTTAATTTAACAAAAAGGACAACTATGTCAAACTCTTTATGTAAGTAAGTTTTCTCTATTTATTTTTTATTTTATAAGAAAGACAAGTCATAACAATGCAGTAAGTTATTTTTGCAAAAGTATAATTTTCATCAAAGGTAACTTGTAGAGCTGAGAGAGTTTGTGTAACAGTAAATAAAACAGGTGATCCATCTTGGTTTTACAAGGCTCATTACCTTGCTGTCGGGGAGGAATTTAATTTTCTGGGGATTAATTAAGGTTACAAGATCAATAAGACTCGCTGAGAGGACCCTGGGAGCTACACTAGTGATCACAATCTCTCACACACACACACATACACACACAATAGAGTTTAAATTAAGCTCTACAAAATTCTCTACGTGTCTAAACCGCACTACTGAAACAGGTGCAGCTCAGGTTACGTCATGGCCAATAATTCTACACTACCATGGATAACGACGCTTGTGCCAAGATCGTCGTATAATTACCCCATTAAGTATCTCAATCTACAGGAACAGTAAGCTGAGATTATGGCCTCGAGTATCTACGAGATGAGTAACAGGGTGTGTGTGTAATCTTTTCGTGGCGACTGACGCGTATAAGTTCCCGGTCTCGAACCTTTATACCTGGTGGTAAAGTCAACGTAACACAGCATAGCATAACGTAACATAACATAACATATATAACATAACGCAACGAACATAACATAACATTTCAGGTAAAGAAGAATTTAACCATCCGTAAAAATATTTAGTGTCAGTACAGATTAACTTTTATTCACTTGATTATAATCTATTACATATATATTTAATCCCCTCTATACATATGAAGTCTCTGATGAAATTGATTAATATAACTAATTGGGAGTCGAATACTTAATAGATCCCTTTGATACCCGAGGGAGGTTAATGTAAGGTATTAATCAAGTCTAACTCACCTGTCGTATTATTCTCTCTAAGTCTCGGTTATTTTCACTCAACATACAGGATAGATATTTTTGTTGTATTCACCGTGTTTGACGTCCAAATGTCACTTGATATCGTGAGGGATTCATGACACTAACAGACATATTAAGAGGCAAAGTAGCACCAATGACCCCTTTCCCCTTTCTCTTTCTTTCCTTATTCATTTCTTCCTTGTATTTCTTCTTCCTTCTTTTTTTCCTTGTATGTCTTCTTTCTTTCCCTTTACCTTTCTTTCTTATACTCCTTCCTTTCTTCCTTTGACTCCTTCTTTTATTCTGAAGCCCTTTCTTCCATTCCTTCCTTCCTTCCTTCCTTCCAATCCTACCTTCCTCTTTTCTGTTCCTCCCTTTCACTTCTTATTCTCTCTTCTTCCTCCTTCCCCCTTTTATCATTTCCCCTCCTTCATTTTCTCTTCTTCCTTTCCTCCTTCCGCTGTTAAAAATATTTTCAGTTTTAACACAATATAAGGATTACATATTCCACTCTTGCAAACTTTTCTATAAGCCTTGAGTTTTAACATAATTTACGGACATAAATTTTCTAGTCTCAGAGAAAAATATAATCCATATTAATCTTAAGGCTGTTATATAATACATCCTGGGAAATATTATCTTTTTAGTTCTTGTGTTATATTTTGAATGGAAATTAAAAAAGGTTGAATATTCTGAGTAGTGGTGAAAAGCGAAACTGGATCTTATAGGCAGGCATGACTCTAACTACCCCATACAGCTCATTATATATACTAACCCTTTAATATATACGCAAGGAAGCAACGTGGACGACACTGTACTCGATCACCTTCACCTTCCAAACTGTAAAATTA